AATGTTAGATAACATAATAACCCCCCCCCCCCCGCTCTCCCCAACATTTCAGAAGTAACAAAGTAACACGACTTTTACTGAAGTTTGTTTAGTTACTCCTTATGACCTCGGTTATCTTCCTATATATAGTTTAATGAAACGTCCCTCAAGGTCGGTCAATATGACCCCCAGCCATCTTTGTTCACTGGTATTCGGTTCAACACTTGACAAGTTTCCTTTTTGGGAATATTGAGTGGCTTGTTTCTTTTTGTAAATATGATTTTATTACGACCTAGAAATACTTTTAGTATCTTTTTTCTTCCTCATTGATCTCTTTCTCTACGTTTGTTGTTGTAACACCTCTGTATATCTCCATCTATCTTGTCTTCAATCAGATTTATTTCTGTTCTTAATTCTTCTTTAAGTATTACGTCTCTTTCGTTTAACCTTTCTCTTAAATTTCCGTCTCTTATGTTTTGAATGTAGTTTTAATTTTCCGTCTCGTCCTTGTAATTTTTTATTTCTTCTTGATTGTCTTTCAGTTTTCTATAAATTTCTTCTTTTATCTTTCTGTTTTATTTTCACCAAAATTATTTCACTTCTGAAACCAGCATTGTAACGTATTTTATCTTTGAGCGGGTTTCTTTGATTTATTTGGTGAAAACAATGCGAAGGCCTTCCTCCCCAAATGGCGCTAATAAATCGGATTCCGATTCCTGTGTATGGAACAGCACGGGTAACTTATTGGCGCTTAACTCTGCGCTTAACAACAAAACAAACAAACCAATAATGCGAAGTACAGTCCATGTAATGATAACAAAATAATTTACTTCAATAATGTTTGCTACGTAGGCCTAAGTATACAAACTTTTTAATATAAACTATGAAACAACTGTAAGCCTAATACACTTATAACGTTTAACAGAAATTTCCTTGAATTATACCATACCTGACTAATTTACTGATTAGCGTACAGAAGCATTAACTCTTACTGCATAATTTTACTGGAAAAATAATCCATTCCAGATCAAGAACTGCTCAATATTTCGCACATTGAATACTTTACTGCCGTTGGGGCGTTATAATGTGACGGTCAATCCCACTATTCGTTGGTAAAAGAGTAGCCCAAGAGTTGGCGGTGGGTGGTGATGACTAGCTGCCTTCCCTCTAGTCTTCCACTGCTAAATTAGGCACGGCTAGCGCAGATAGCCCTTGTGTAGCTTTGCGCGAAATTCAAAACAAACAATCAAACAATTTTCAATTACTGATCTAACTGTTCCTTCAGTACTCACTATTGGTATTTACAACTAATGCACCAATCAATATATTAGTCTAAGTTTCTCGATTACTATATCATCACAATTAGCAGCTTTTTTTTCTAACAAACAGCTAAACTAAAACAATGAAAGTACAGCTTACGACAGTATGTTTACACTAAAAGTTGAATAATAAATGTTCAAGCTGTGAAATTTTAATAAGACATATCTAAAAATAAATAATATTTCAATTTGCTCTTTTAACATTTTTTGTTGGGGGGATATTATATATATAGGTAGATCTAGAATATTTTCTTTAACACCTTTTCTTTAACACGTTTTACTCTTCCTACTCTGTAATTTGCAGGTGGTTATGGCGTTCGACTCGCAATCTGAGGGTCGGGGGTTCGAATCCCCGTCCCACCAAACATGCTCGCCCTTTCAGTCGTGGGGGCGTTATAACGTGACGGTCAATCCTGCTATTCGTTGGTAAAAGAATAGCCCAAGAGCTGGCGGTGGGCGGTGATGACTAGCTGCCTTCCCTCTCGTCTTACACTGCTAAATTAGGGACGGCTAGCGCATATAGCCCTCGTGTAGCTTTGCGCGAAATTCAAAAATAAACAAACAAACAAACACTGTAATTTGTATTCTAATTTTTTTTTGTGCGTGACGCCCAACTAAACAAACCAAATTCTTATCAAATGTTGCGTACACCAAACTGTATTTCATGGTACGAGGGAACGTGTTCCCCGGTGGGACAGCGGTAATTCTTCGGATTTACCACGCTAAAATCAGGGGTTCGATTCCCTTCGCTGGATACAGCAGATAGCCCGATGTGACTTTTCTATAAGAAAACACACACACGAGGGAAAGTTGCTATATTTTAAAGAAATGCATCCTATATTTCAGTACAACTTATTTTGAAGTGTCAGGGGGAAAATCCCCCGAAAAACAAAACGGGGCATAAATGATGATATTTTTGAGAATTTATTAATTTGCTTCTTACCTTCATATATCTCTGTTTGTTTGCTTTTCTGTTTCTTTTTGTTGTCGTTATTGTTTTTTGGGTTTTTTTTCTCACAACCACGCGTTCTATGGTAACAATAAATAAGGAATATTTTTTTATGAAACATAGTATGACGTATAAAGAAGTTTAGAATGTTGGTGCTTCGCAATTGAAGTCGTGTTTCTTTCAGATTTTCTCCTTGAAAAGTCGTTAAAGTGAATCCATCTGTACTTTGGCTACTCTTCACCAGCGCCCTCTGGATCCGTTATGTGTACCAATAGTAATTATTAATTTTTTAACCGCTTTCAAAGTCGAGTATAGGCAGAGACAATAACTCGCATGTCTTGAAGAAGAAGTGATTGTTGAGCTGGTTTTCCGTTACGTCTGTCAAAGAATGACGTTTCGAGTATAGGCAGAAACAATAACTCACATGTCTTGAAGAAGAAGTGATTGTTGAGCTGTTTTTCCGTTACGTCTGTCAAAGAATGACGTTTCGAGTATAGGTAGAAACAATGACTCACCTGTCTTGAAAAAGAAATGATTATTGAGCTGGTTTTCCGTTACTTCTGTCAAAGAATGACGTTATTTTTTTTTTTTTTGTTAGACGCACAAACCCAGGTCAATAAACAGAGGAAATTCATTATCTCGGTAACGAGATGCCAACCCAGAATTCTCGAATAAACAGTCCGGCACATTATAACCACTAGGACACGACCGACGTGACACTCTCTCTTCTCCGGATCGGGATTTAGGTCATTGACCTGGGAGGGTCAGGTAGACCTCTTCCTCCCTTCTGTACAGTTGTTATAGCTTTTTTCTGTGGTTCAGGTTTTTTTGGTTGGCTGGTTTGATATGGGGTTGATGTATTTCTGTTAGTACTATCCTTTTCAGGGCCATGTCCGTTTTATGTTATCAATTTGTATGTGTGAATTGCCCTATTTTTGGTTGTTAGTGTACTTTGGGTCTATAGTAGAAGGACGTGACACTAATTATATTAGTTTTATATTTTGAAATACTGAAAAATTCTGATACGTATAGCACTTTTAAACAAACTACGTTCATCCAAACATTTATACTGTTGAATATGAAAAATTCATATTAACGTAATAAAATACAAATGTTTACGAAAGGTGTAGAGCGGTAAGAAGAAGAGAGAAACGCTTTTTTATATATAAAGATCAATAGTTGTGTCTAAAATGTTTATAAGTAATCTCTACACTTTGTTTTTTTCTGTTTGTGTTAGAAGAAAGCCACACTGAGCTATTAGCTGCGTCTACCGCGGAGATTTGAACTCCAGATTTTTAGCCCCGTAAGTTCGTAAACTTGCCGCTCACCCCCCGGGGAATGTAATATCTGTATTTAAATGTATGTATGTTTATCTTTGTTTAACATGCAACTTATTTGTAAATATCCATCCCTACATCACGGTTTCTATTTTACTTTGCTCTTGCTTCACGCTATTTTTTTCTTTCTAACTTTGTAACGTGAAGTAGATGTTCTTTTTCTCTCACCCACCCCCTACCCCATCTGTCTTACCCGAACTTGGCTACCTCTGCATGGCTGCCTCAATTTAGAATTTAAGCCGGTTATTTCCAGTCAAGTAAGTTTACTCGTTCATAGAAAAAAGGAAAAAAAAGAAAAATAGAGTTGTTTTTTTTATGTCATGTTAATACATTGCTCTCTTGGGACATTTTTTTATAGTTAGAATAATGTAGGCTTAAGATTTAACTTTACAGTTTAAAACTAGACCAGACATTGTACTTTAATCACGCAGAGGTAACTCAAAGAAGTAACGAAAATCCGCAATTCTGAAACTGATAATTATAATTATGTGAATTAATGTAATATGATGTAGGCTTTAATGATCAATATTCCTCAACACAAGAAGAGCTGATAAAATTGCTTGAGATTTTAAATGCGGGCATAATATTTTATATGTAGGCTTCATAATCACGTGAATTTTGAATTGATATATACTCATAACTCTTTATATATAACAGTGTATTGATTTTTAAGACTACTGAATTTGCTATAAACTTCAAAAATTTAAACAAGAAAGTCTTGAGTGACAGCACACGAGGCCCCCATTGGCTAAATGGTAAATCTGAAGGCTTATAGGTACAGCACCGATAGCCCAATGTGTCGCTTTGTGTTTAACGACAAAACTTCACAAAAGAAAAGAAAAAAGACGGCACACGAGGACATTTTGGGTACATGGACAGCAGGCACGCCTCTTCTTATATCTTAACAAATCAGATTGTCGACTACGTTGTAATTTCCATAATTTGTAACTTTTGTTTATGTTTAATGTTGCATATACAGCTCACACAAAAGACGGTCCATTGAAATGTAGTTCCAAGCAGGTCAGAGAGTAGTCACTTCATAACAAATTCTGTGTGATTAACCTAGGAGTTAGATGTCGTATTAAATTTGATGATAAATTTGACACATATTGTTACGTTTTCTGTCAATGTCGTAAACAATACGTTTATATCTATTAATATTATATTTTAGAAAAACAAATATATTAACAGAACTCAGATTACTTGTATATATATATAGAAAGAGCGAGAAAACATTTTTATGAGCTCTAAAATTGTGATTTTCACATTTTTTTTATTGTCTTGGCTACCTTAACTCTTTCATTCCATTCGCACGTCATCGTACAGAGTTCCAATATCACACGACGATCAGCTAATGCTCACGTGAACACCACTGTGGCACTGTTTGCGCATGCGTATTTTTTTTTGTTCAAGGTTTTCAAATTAGTACGAATAGGTGTAGAAGAGTTAACGATTGACTAGAAAAAAGGAGGTACAAGGATTATAGTTACAGTATTCTTTAGTTTTCAGAACAGATGAAGCTTTCTCAACGATGTACCGCAACCGTTGAACTCAAACAGTAGAAGAAAAGCAATATTAATATCTAGCATGTAATATGTAAGCTTGACGTTAGGCGATACGCTCACGACTATTTACCAACATAGGGGTAAGGAAGAATTATCTTGGGTAAGACAATTTTTATTCGATTTTACACCTGTAAGTTTTAGTCTCGTGACTATTAGTATTACTAATAATAGTAATATTAGGGTTACTGAGGCTCTGTTATTACTAAAATTTATTATTAGTCTTAACACAAATATTATTTATATTTTATTGTTATTTTTCCACATCTGATATTTTCTTCCAAATTATTCTGTTTATGTTGAATCAATTAAAAAAACAAAAGCCTTAATCGATGCGTCTAAACTTTAAATATTCCTTTGTCTAGGAAATAGGTTTGAGGCTTAAGGCTTAAAAGTTAACTTCAAGTTCAAAGCTGGATTTTCATTAGGCTTACTGAAGCAGCATTAAATATTACTCCATTTACTGTTAGGTCCATACTTTATAAATTATATTTATTGTAAACAAAATGCATCATATGTTCATTAATTTGACTAAGTCTTATTCTCAGTGTAAATATGTTTTGATTAATACTCAACGCTATAGCGGTTAATTTTCACAGAAGGTAGGTGATTTCACACTGTTTCAGGCCTTGTTTAAATTTAAAGTTGTTATTCTGTAGAAAGTTTATTATGACTGTTGCAATAAAAATATTCTAATATTTCTTGAAAATAAAATGAGAAGCTAAGGTCTTAAAAGTAAACTGTTTTCCAGTTATTATTGAGGGTAGGTAAACAAGAAAAAGTTGATTTTAAAATTTAAAAAGAAGAAGAAAAAACACCAATAAGCATCTTCAGTACATGGAAAAAGGCTTGTTGATTGATATTAGTCGTTTTACGCTAAATACAAATAAATTATTACAGATTAATGTTTCTGTGTGGATATTGCAAATGCTGGTTAGTGCATTTGTACTAATGATATGATTACAAAAACATCCCACTTTTTACTGTGGCTGTTAGTGTTACCCAAGGATCGAAATGCAAGATACAAGAATTCCCTATTCACATTTAAAACCTGGGGAATCTTTGTATACTCCTTCGTTCTGATGGATTTGTCAATGTTTTAATAGTTTTGGTTTAGAGGAAGGGACAGCCAAGATGGACCAATATTTCTCCTTCAAACTGTGATAAACAAAGATAATGTACTAAGTTGTTTATAAAAATCCCTGTATATATTAAATAAAAAATATAGCTTCAAAACTATTATATTAATTACATTAATTGTCAATAGGTGATCAAGATCAACATTATAAAACAATAACAAACTTAATATAAATTCAAAACTCTTAAAAAAAAACAACAAGAAAACCTTCACACTTTCCGGTTATTATCCAAAAGTCATAACGAAGATTGCCCGTGGTAATAGCACCCAAAAGCATTGGGGATATCCCATCTATTGGACAAAATTCAAAGAGCAGATGAGAAACCAGTCAGCAGTTCATTAAGGGTACAGAGTTGAGTGCTTACACCCACAACGTCTCAACTCTTACTGCCTTTCACTGTCTGCAGCCAGTTGTGGGAAGGCAGTTACCCATAAAATGATGTAATAAAGTTAAAAGTAGAAATAAGATAAACTCAAGCCACCCCAAAAAATATATTTCTACTAAACAATGCCTACCATCCTCCACCCTAATAATTCTACTACACGTTACTCCCAACCTCCACCCCTTTTCTAAAAATGACTGATTAAAAAAAAGTCACTACAAGACTTACCTAAAGTAGTTCATATTGTCACATTATTCAGGTATAGCACAGGATAACAGAGACAAGCCCAGCTACTTGAAGTTAGTCATTCCAGTCCCGGCTGTACTGAATAAATTTAACTTGCACATTAAAGCTAGCTACCTACCTCTAGTGACAAAATAGGTTTTTTTCCTCATTGAATATTTATCTAATAAAATATTTTGAAATTTATTATAAGAACTTGAAAAAACTTTATTTGCCAGTATTTATATCCATTATTTTCTAATTTAGTTATGAATAATATAACATTATCCATAAAAATAAAAAAAATGTGCTATTATTACATGCAGTTAAAAAAATCTTGAGACGTGATGACGCCTTTCAGTATCGTACGAGGAACCACACTATTCGGGGTGGGCAGACCAAGGATAGGAAAATCAGATGCTCTTCTCTTATCAAAAATATTTAGTTGTGCTTTACCATTTACTAATTTGATGCACACGCCAAGAGTCAAAGTGTAACTTAACACTGCTGTTACCTTTTGAGTTGAAAGTAAATTGTATAATAAAAGAAAAAATATTATGCTTTTTAAAACTGTTTTCAAATCTATTCAGCATAGATGAGATGAGATATGTTTCATCTCAGTCTGTAGATATTTTGGCATGGGTGACCCCTACAAGTTGCATATTTTGATATATATATGTTTTTCTACAAAATTACTGCAATGAACTTCTGTAAAGTATGTACAGATTGAGAGAGAGTGTTCTCTAAATTTTATACAGGAAATTTAAAGATTTAGTTGTTTGTTTAAATTGAAGTATATTCGGTAGAAAATGTTTAAAATATTACGTATGAATGTTAAAGATGATAATATGCCTTTTGATCTACTAAAGTCAACATCATTTCTCACTTCATTTCAAAATTAATAGTTAATAATAACTGAAATAATTTTTGTTTATATAATCATCCAAATAATACATCTGTCAAATATTGTTAAATTACTAATGCTATGAGATTTTGTTTTTTTTCTTCTTCTTCTTCAGGTCTTCATCAGATACAATGATGATGCATGCAAGATACATTAATTATCAAGAACATAGGGTTATTGATTAGACAGATCAGTTCAGAAAACACTAAGGATTTTCTGGATAAAACAACAAAAGAAAAAATCTCAATTTTGAAGATGTCTAGTGTGTTGAGGAGAGGACTCCCTATCGCTGGGCGGTTTGGAAGTAACATTCTACATAGCATTGTGAAACAAAAGTATGGGAAAAATGTGTCTTGGATTGTTTATCCTGCAGCTAGGACAATGTCGTATGTAGGAGATAGTCAGATAAGCTTCCAGCTCAAGGAATATCCACGTGCTATTAATTCGTTCTATAACCAGACAGCCATTGACATAGCTGCTGCTCAGGTGTTTGAATTTATTATATTACAATAGGAACGTGTTAATTGATGTAATATCTATTTCAACTAATGAGTTTGTTTCCCAGTATATTTAGTGGAATTCTTTTATCATAAACGTTTTGTAAACATAATAATAGTATCTTAATTTAGGAATACTGCTGAACTTTGACCACTTATGTTTTAATTCTACCAAAAAAAAAAAGTGTTAACTTGTCTTATCTTAGCATATGATAATTTTTCATTTAGCTGCATAACGATATTGAATTTATTATCTTCCTAGCCCTCGGTGCGTTTAGATCCAGCTACTCTCTTGTATTCCAGTAAAAGTCCAGATGGAAGTCATTTATTGGTAAGGGTAAATTTACCTTAAAACTGTGAAATAGAACTCAGATTTCACATATGAAACGTAACTATTCAGAAATTGTTTTTAACCTTGTATTTCTCCTACATTTCCTTTGACAAGTCTTTCACGCAGCTCGTCATCATCAGCATACGCACCTGTAACTGCAGGGGGTAGAATTGCTGATGAGAGAAACAAGTGTAGGGAGGGCCCAATTACTTTTTATTTAGGGAGGGGGGCATCTTTTGTAGTTAATGCCACTGCTTTTGTATTACTGCTGGATTGAGTTTTATAACCAAAATGACATTATGGCCAAATGTTTTTGTTATATAATTATTAGTTTCAGTGTCGGAAGCAATTGTCGTATTATTTATCAAAACCTACCAAACTGGAAAGTGTCGCTGATTTTAAAAAGAGAGAGAAAAAAAAAAAAGCATATTTTAAACAAGAAATACACGTACGCACTGAGAACAAACAAGGATACCTGTCATTTAACTAGCAAAATGTACTTAATAGTTTTTAATGTCGTATAAAATGTAGAAGAAAATGATTTTGGAGGCAAAAAAAATTGTTTTACTCGTGGTAATATACCGCTTGCATAACGAGGTGTCCTTTCTAAGCTCCAAAAACATGTATTTTACATGTACTTCATAGAATTGTTCTTACTGCCCCTGTAACCTAGTTTTCCTTGTGTGCAGTCTGACTGGTATGATCAACCAATGTTTTGTAGGTTTTTGGGTTTATTAGTTCTAGGTGGCTGTTTTTGGTACTTTGCCAATTGTGGGGCCCAGATCCTATTAATATTCTTTCATGTACTGTACGTGTAACTTTTACATATTTGACGAGGAATATTGGAGTGAGAAAGTATAGATGTTAGATATGTGGAATTTAAGGAATTAAATTAATCTTGTTCTATATTTATTATAAACAAAAATGGATCATTTTCAGCTATTTCTGTGGTATTACAAGTTTTTCCAAGCATTTCTGTATTTCTAATAATTTTAATATGTTGGTACCATATTATTCTTGAAAATGCTGTTGACTTCGTCATTGAAATTAATTTTTTTTTTTTAATAATTCATTAATAATTATTTTTGTAATTTATAATTTTAATAATTCATTTTTTGTAACTTTTCTATACGACCTAGCTGGTTGTATTGTTTGTTTTATTTTGGATAATTTATTGAGGATGAAACCAGTAATGACATTTCTGTGATAGATTGTATTGATTGTACTTGTATTATAAAATCAAAATGCGGTGTATGAAACAGCCTAACAACAAAACAACTCCATTTTCCATTAAACTTGGAAAATACAACTTTATTTATTTATTGATTTAAGAACATAAATACGAAAGGAAGACCACTTGGATATCGTAAAGGTGTTTTTCTGAATAAAAAAGTACGTCTGTATGAGAAAGTGTATTGATGATTGTCTTTAAAAGAGTTTGTTTATTAGTCAGACATGTTAAATAATGATTCCATGATGCTTAATTATCTATTGATATTTGAGCAAAAGCATAACTAATGTAGCAATAGTTAGAAGTAATGAGGGTTTCAGGCTTTGGTCTCTACAAAAATGAATTCAGATGTGACAAAACCACAACTTCACCAGCAATTACTTGTGATGGTGGGGAAGAGTACAACATTCTTAAAAAAAAAAAAACGTTTGTAAAAACAAGCACGCAGGCTTAAAAAAATTCTTTTATTTATAAGACCTTACCGTAAAGTACGCTGTGTATTAGTAGGTGAACTGATGATGTGAAATAAGATTTTGTATAATAATGAAGAAAGGTTAAATTAACTGTATGCTACTTTAAGTATGTAACTTCTTAAACAGTATCTCGAGTTAAGATTCATGTCAACTTTTAATTTCCTGCACCATGGTTCTTTTTCATCATTTACCCAGTGAAAAAAAAATTTTAAATTAATTTGTGAAGTTTTTACATTGTATTAGACACTATTTGAATTTCTATGTCTGAGCCAAAAGTATTTCCAGAAGTAAATGTATGACAACACTTGAAAATACTAAATAAATTAAGTCTTTCTTTCTCTTAAGATTGCTAATATCTGTGTTTATTTATTAAATTTTCATCAGTAAGTACTGCGTACTGTATAAATACTGTAGCCTAGCCTAACTTGAGTTTCCAAACAAAGTTTTTTTGTTTTTTGAGCATGAAAAATCTTTTTACATTTTTCTAATCGGCAAACACGAACATTAATCTAATTTCTTGGAATCTTTTTACATTTTTCTAATCGGCAAACACCAACATTAATCTAATTTCTTGGAATCTTTTTACATTTTTCTAATTGGCAAACACGAACATTAATCTAATTTCTTGGAATCTTTTTACATTTTTCTAATCGGCAAACACGAACATTAATCTAGTTTCTTAGAATCTTTTTACATTTTTCTAATCGGCAGACACGAACATTAATCTAATTTCTTGGATTAGTAAGTAAAATGCTCATTATGAAACTGGATTGTATGATATTATTTACTCAAGTTTTACATAAATCTGTAAACTAATGCTGGAAAAGTATATTGTAGATCTGTGGTTTTTACCCTTGACATTTATAAGTAGTCTAGAGTTTCTAATACGTTTTTAATTTGTTTCAGAGGAGTGCTCAGTTTTTACACAAAGAATTGCCTGTAAGGATTGCCCATCGGATTTCTGGATTTCGCAGCTTGCCTTTCATTGTTGGATGTAATCCAATCATCATATCTGTGGTAAGAAAGGATTCTTTCCCATCACTCTTATGGTATTTTGATGTGTAAATCTTAGTTTTTTCAGAGGTTATTTTGCTGAGTACCTGACTTCGTGGCACCATCCCTCTCAGACATCTGTTAGTGGTATCTCACCATATGGAAAACATACTTGATGGCAAAATAAACCTTTTATTATTATTACAAAACAAGTTAAAACTTAAACTTCCAAGTTAAACTAGTGGCCACCTTTATGATTAATTACAAAAAGTGGGGTGGACCTTGTTTGTTTTTTATCCTTTGCAACCCATTGGTGGATTTAATACAACCTCTGACCTTGTGTTAATAAAATAGAAAAATTAACAAGTCACCGTATCTGAAACGGATACTTCAAGCACATCGCATGACAACTGTAGGACCTTTTTAAAATACAAATTATAGCTAGCAGTTTCAGTTTTTAATTACTTGATCCAAAACAAATGAGAACAGTATTCTGAAGCCATGATACAACTGCCTAAATATCCTAAGAACCCCCTTGGAACAACATGTTTTTGTAGAAATAAAAAGATCAACAAAAAATAGAATTTGGGAGTATAATGGATACACGATACTAACATCAATCTTCTTCGATAGAAATTAATATAAAAAAACCTATAACCCGAGCGGTTTCGAAAGGTAGACCTTTCTTCTTCAGGAGCAAATTGGGCAATTTTCTTCAGTAGCCATCTTGCAAGAGTAGACCCATATATTTAAAAAGAGTAATAATAGAATATATATATAATGGAATATATTTGCTGATAACGTGCTCGGTCAACCTAGCATAAAAACCAGCATACTCTTCTTGAAACTATTTAAGTTCTAATGGGAGAGACCTTGGACAAGTTAAATAGCACATCACTCTTTTATTAAAGATACCCTGGATCGAATCCTGGAAGTACGACTACACACAGCCCTTCTCGGGACTTCATAGAATGTGGCAGGAGATTAACAACCAAATGTAGAATATAAGCATCGGGAAAATATTTGTTCTTTGTGCTGTAGCATGTTCATAGTGATTTGAGATTTTCAGTGTTCAAGAAGCACTTTCAAAGATTATTGTAATTGTATTTATTATTTGTATAGTATAAATGTTCTCTTCTATACATTTGTTCTTTGTTGTTTACTTTTAGCATGAACTGTACATCCGGGCCTTCTTCATCTTGTCAGAATTTCGAGCAGTAAGTTTGTCACAATAAGTTTCTTGTGAACTACATATAATAAAGCATTTAATCTACAGATAACATGTTTTGTTTTTTTCCTGTAAAAACGTATTTCAGTTGTTTTACTTTGTACCTCTTCAGTAAGTTGAACCCCTCTTTTTTTTTTTTTCTCTAATAATGTGTGTGTGTGTAAAGAACATTATATGGTTCAGGAAACTTAGCTTTAAAAATAACTATGTCCTCATAAAAACTCCAACTCAAAATTGTTACATCTCCTCAAACGAATGATTTTTCCTCTCCCCCCCACCCTTTAAGTTTTTAATGTATTTTAGTCTTAAACATCTATTAGTTCTTTTTTGACAATTTGATTTTAAACATTTAATTTTTCAGGTTCAATTAAATTTGTATACGTTTTTAGAAACTTTTTATTATTAGATCACTGACTTGGAAACAGAAAAACAGTACAGCGAAATGCTTAAAAATTTGTTGGATGATCATCGGGATGTAGTCACAAAGCTGGCATCCGGCTTCCAGGAATGCAGAAAGCACATCAAGGTTATTTTCTTTTTATCTTCATATTTAACCATCTTCCATAAAGTTGTAATGACTTTATCAATTGCTAATGACATTTTTGTTGTCATTTTAATTGAATATAATTATTGATTTACAAAAAGAAAACAAATAACACTTCAAAATCCAAATCCAGGCAACAAATTTTATTAGCTTAACAGATTGTCCTAGACACCAATGCTCAAAATATTTACTAGTAAATGATACAAAAAAAACATTCAAGTGTGTGTGTGTGTGTAAATAAACATGATTCAAATGCTTTTGCAACTCCCAATTAAAGACTGATTAAAGCGCTACCTATTGAGAAATGCTGATGTCACAACAACACAAAAATGTAAACAAAACGTCAGAACATAGCTTATGTATACAGTAATAATGATACTAATGAAGTTACAGTTTTCAGGCTGAAGATGGTAAAAGTGAATCGTCAGAATATTCAGAAACTAACGAGAATGAGAACAAGACATCATTGTTTTTGTTCATATATTCAAGCTAGTTGTGGTGAATGATGGGGAAAAGTGTGACTGTACCTGACAATTTATAGGCCTAACGTTTGTTCCTCCATACTATTGGGATATAGGATAATTATAGACATCAACTGACAAGAATTGTGGTTTACTTTTAATTAAGATAATTTGTATAAATAGAATACAAAGTGATTATTTAAAAAGAAATATCCTAATGGCAGTGGACTCTTAACATTGGTACTGCTCCCATAACATTTACCACTAGGCCTAATATGATTCTTCGGGTTAAATGTGGTTTCCAACTTCTATGTCCTGTTAACCGATTTTGTTTACAAATTCCTAACTTGTCATTTAGATTTAAACACTTAATAAGAATACAGTGGTTAGCTATGATTTTGAAATAGAAATTGTTTTCGATCATTACATCAAAACAAGCTTCAAGAGTGAAAACGGTTCAAGATAACATAATAATTATTATCGAAATGTTCGTGGCTATTTAATACGCTTGGGGGGAAAATGGATCTGACTACCCGTGTCCCCGAAATGACGTCGTACTTTGACCTCTGTGTGCATCTCGGCGAAGTGTGGGTAGACCGTCTTAAAACATGTTTCTCTTGGTTGTGTCAATAACGTATCATGATAAACTCATGAAATTAGATTTATGTGAACTGCATCTAGTCAATTAAAGCATGTTAAAGATGAGTTAATTTTACCGTACTTTGTATTTAAATTCCTGTTGTTTTATTTTGTAGGAAGAAGAATTAGTTAGACAGTTTCTGGATAGAACTCTGACATCGCGACTGGGAATTAGAATGCTTGCAGAACATCATTTAGCCCTACATAATGAACAGGTATAATTTGTCGTTTAAACTGAGCTTGAGCCGTATATGTATTATTCATGTTAGTATAAAATATTTTGAGTTAATAACTAAACCTTACATAAATGAACTATTAGAGAGAGGGAGTTAATTATATGTTTAACAATTCCTTGCTTATCGGCAGTGGTGCATTAAATCAAATAGCTTGCGATGTTAAACCAGAAAGTTAATTTTTTATCTAATGGAGGAGGATTGTTCTTTTAAGTAGTTTTTTGTTATTTCGTGAGATGGTACATAACATGCATTGTATATCTTGGAAGTGCATAATGCCAAATGGGAAAAGTATTGTTAGTATGCTAACTGAGTAATATTGCTTGTAAGTCAATTATTGAGTCTTGTGTAATGTTAACCAGCAATATAACGCATTAGATAGTATTTAGGCTTAAGTTCATAGTTGATGTAAGTGATATGTGTAACATTATGGTAACTCGACATTTTGTTGCTTTTATCATGTAGAAGTTGGTGATTTAAAAAAAATACCATATTCAGGTTGTTTTACGCTCGACCAGCAGTGCCGGTTTATGCTGATTACTTATTACATGACTTTTAATTATGCCATTCATGTAAATTCTTGCATTTTACGCTTTTTTTACATTGAATCGTATGTCAAAGTATTGAGGTAATTTAGTCAATTGTTTATTTTTCTCTGCCACATTTCTAAATTAAGTGTATTCATAGCCGACGATCTGTGGAAGAATATGATTGTCCGGCAAAAAGCTGCATTACTTTTTAGTAGGCCTAGAATTTCATGTCTTGATTTCGGAGGACATTTTAAAACTTTTAAATGAGGTTGTTTTTGTCTTCCACTAGCCTAACCATGTTGGTATTATCAATGTTGCCATGAAACCGAAAGATGTCGTGGACCGTTGGGCTGATTTCACGAGGTAAGAATGTTAAACTTTTTAAAATGGAAGGGTCAGTGTTTAGGTAGCCTTGATTGTCTGTCCCACAACATTAATTGGTCATCCATCCACAAAGCCTCACTAACAACCAGACCCTCCTGCTTCTTTCTCACAGGTTGTAAGCTTCTGTCTCTAGAGGATGAAGGTTTTTGCAAAGCAGTGGTCCAATTTCATGTGGAGATGACTGACATAGTGGACTATAGAGTACCAGTGGTTCAACCTAGGTGACATTTCTAATCTACCATCAAGTGTTCTACACCACCTGGTACCTGAAGCTTAGCTGTGAAACATTCCTGTTTCTTCCTATCTTTTTTTTTTTTCACTCTAGTTTATTTTTCAGGTCTAAGAACAAAAAGAATAAGAATTATTTGTCAGACCAATTGGACACTGCCAAATCTTAAGGAGTCGTTGAAAACGTTTGTAAGCACGGCTACCAGTGTATAGTGCAAAGAATAGTAATAATATTACTACATATTTGCAATTTTAGTTAAAGGAAAAAAAAAATTACAGTTTTCTCTTTTACCAGGTAAAAAATTTGGAATATATTAAAGAATACTACAGGAACTATCGAAGGATAAGATGAAATGAGACCGGTTTTTCAGATTCTAAGTGCAACCAACTTCAGATGTAACTGTATTTATGCAATAATCGCAGTACTAATTAGAAATGGTCTTGTGGTTTAATTTCAGGAATCTGTAATCCTGCCTTTCGGTGAGCAGTGAAGATATCTTAAGTGACTTGTGATTGGCTAGTTCATGGTAAAGGGTCAGGCAGAAATATTGATTTTCTTAAGTGTATATACTACACTTTGAGAGGAAGATACACTATTTGTAGCAATGCAACAAAAATTATATTTAAATTTGGCACCATATATATTGCCTGCTTCCACGTGAAAGAGGTCTGTGAGGGTGGGCTGATGGCTTATTTATATACTTAAAACTAGATGGACAGAGAATGGTATGTTGATTGTTTTCATAAAAAAAAAAAGCCAAAACCTTCTGATAATGATCCGTTGACGTGAGAATTGCTTCCATTTTGAATAGTTCTAAATGACTGTTGCCTGCTGAAGGATAACTTGGAAGGCTTCACTTTGATAAATACTGTTTAGTATATTAGGTTTCATCCAAATGTGGCAAGCGACAGGAATGAGAAAACAGCATAAATTATAGATTACAATCCAGAGTCACATAAAATTAAGCGATTGTCGGCAGACAAAAAAATCAAACAACAAGACTCGGACAAAACAACTGACAAACAAAAGCTTGTACTCACCAATATTTTAATTAACGAGATAAAACGCCAAGTTTGGTTTGAGTTTTACGTTAAAAAATACTCAAAGTGACAACTACAGGGTTAAAATATTTTAACTTATTCTTTTTAAATGAACACTAAGCAAAAACTATTTGCAAGGAATTTATTTCTTCAGTAGCTTACTATCAAACAGCTTAGATATTTAGTGTCAATTTTTCAAGTCAGATAAAGCCTATGCAATGAAGTATTTTGAATCTGGTTTATATGGGAATGTGTTCATTCACTGCAATATTTATTTAGAAATATTTTTCTACTTTAATTTTATAATTTCTTGTATGTTTTTTTTTGTGAAGGTTCATAACTTGACTTTGTTATTTAGGTCTAATGTTTTACACGATGCAAAAGAAATTAATGTGTAGTTTCACATCAAATGGTTGTTGTTCTACTAGACCTGATGAAGCCACAGTGGTAAAACATTGGCTGAAATATATAGTTTTTATTATTACGTGGAGATTAAAAGCTTTTTTTTTTCAAACTATTGCCAAAAAAGTATTGTTATAAATGATAGTAAAATGTTTTTGTTTTTTCCCATGATTAAAGAAATTACATTCAAAATAGTGACTTCTAATATTAAAAAAAAAATTTTTTTTCTTCTAAAATTCCCAGGTGCATATATCCTGTATTCTTAATTGTTTAGCTTCCCTCTTTTGTTTCTAGACAAATTTCCGACCATAAGTATGGGAAAGCTCCAGAAATTAAGTGTAACGGACACATCACTGCCAGTTTTCCATACATTCAGATTCCGATAGACTATATAATTCCAGAACTTCTGAAAAATGCAGTGAGGTAAGCATTGAAGAATTGGTTGTTGTTGTTGTTGCTGCTGCTAAAATATAATGAAACATAAAAAAAACTAGAGAAGACTACCATGAAACTTGACACACTTGATGTACCAGTTGGTTTCATGTTTTCTGAAATCAGCATGATTTTTATTTGTTTAACTGAACAGTTAAATTCTCCAGTTACCAACTGTTTTTGTTTATCATGAGCCAAAAAATTCATGGTGACTGTACTTCAGTGGAAATAAAGAAATGCCGTAATAAAATTATAATGTAAAGCTTTAAGATCTATGATGTAAAGATTTAATTTACAAGTATACGTATTGAACTTTGTTCTTGTCCTGTTTTTAAAGGGCTACCATTGAAAACAACCCGGACAAACCAGAATCCAATCTTCCTCCTGTAATAGTGACCATTGCCAATAATGATGCAGATTTTGTTTTGAGGTAGTGTTGATCTTCGAGTGTTTCTTTCATGTGTTTTGCATATTATAGATCCTAACTTCCAATAACTTTATGTGTGATTGAAGTCTTATGGTTACGGTATTTTGAAATGGTTTCAGTGATGTTACTTACATTAACATTTATTGGTTTAGAATGTTTAATATATGTTTTTATTATTTTATTTCTTCATTTTGATTCTTGCTAGTGTAAATACATTGGGAGCTACTTAAATTGAGTTAACAATTTTCCTATTTGCATATTTCTTTTTTTATCTAGGGTCTCAGACCGTGGGGGAGGGATCCCACACCACATGGTGGACCATGTTACTCGGTACCATTTCAGTACCGCCAGCATCACGCAGGAGGAAGACACGGGGTTGTTTAGTACCATGATTTCAGAATCTAACCATGGTCCATCTGGACCGATGTACGGGTGAGTGTAAAAAAAAAAAAATCATTCTTTATTTGTGTTGGTTAACTGCGTATTAAAGATAACACCAAAAAATCATTCTTTATTTGTGTTGGTTAACTGCGTAATAAAGATAACACCAAAAAATCATTCTTTATTTGTGTTGGTTAACTGCGTAATAAAGATAACACCAAAAAATCATTCTTTATTTGTGTTGGTTAACTGCGTATTAAAGATAACACCTTCTATCGGTAAAAGTTATCACGTGTCGCATCTCAAGAGGAGCTCAACTAATCTAAGAATGAGCGTAATACTATTTTCATTTACTCGTCTGGTTTTTGTAAAAAAAATATTAAAAATTCAAAGCACTTGCACTTAGCTTGATATGTTAGGTGGTTTAAATTTTACCAAAGCAAAGTAAGTTTACCATAAAGTGTACGAAAATTAATTGATCATGTATCGTCTCCGTTTCTCCTTTCTATAAATGCGGCTGGATGACCAGGTACCACAATATTATAAATATATAATTTTCCATTTTAATTTACTCCGCTACAGGAACTATCTTGTTTTTAAGTTATTGTAAAATCGTCAGTGTGTTTAAACTGCCACTATTCATTCAAGAAAATGGGTGCGTGATAAACACACGGTTAGTCGCACTTGTTACCAGCCTTCCTTACACCAGTGTTAGCTTGGAAGTAATAAATATGTAGCCCAATCTTTCATATGGTTCTCCAGTTGTCAGTGAGCTACATCAGTTATGGGGGAACTACACCCTTCATGAGCAACCCTGGAAAGTAGAAAGAGCTAGACTGAGTCTTTCAATTTATCAAGGACTAATGGTGAGGGGGGTGAAATTCCCGGAAGTCAATATAAGTGGTTAATTAAATGATTGTATTGAGTTTCCTGTTAATTTTTAGTATTTTATACGGTTTATCTGCCAAATAATTTAGAAAAATAAATTGGCAGCATCATATATTATAATACCTAAACATTAACATTTTCATTCAATAGTATTTAATGTTTTCTCTTGGGTAAACATTTCCATGCAGGATTTCAAATTGGCATGACAGTCAGCATTATGAACTGTGGTTTAGGATAAACCACATTTTTTTTTAAATTGTTTTTAACTGCTTCTCTCTGTACTTTTAAATACATTCTTTTTTAGAAGTTTCTTTATTATATTTGTCATTTTGTATGTTTTTTTTTACTTGATCCTGCACAGTTTACTTGAGATTCTGTATGTTAAAGTATAGTCTTTATTAATACGCGATGTAGGATTGAGTTGCTGTAGTTTTAATTGAGGTCTTGCGTGATTGAGTATCTTCTGTAAATTGTTTGAGTTTGTGCGTGACCGATAAACATCCGAATGTAGTTTCTCTAAGCTCGTAAAGGGTGGGTAGAATTTATTTACAAATTGAAAGCAAGTCTCATTAATGTGTTTGGTTTTTCTTTCCGTGAACATGTATGAATTTTACTATCAAAACCAATGTAAGTTTTAAGTGTTTTAGAAAGAAATACTGCAACATTTTCATGTTGTATTATATGGATTATCAGAGACAATCTCATTAATGTGTTTGGTTTTTCTTTCCGTGAACATGTATGAATTTTACTATCAAAACCAATGTAAGTTTTAAGTGTTTTAGAAAGAAATACTGCAACATTTTCATGTTGTATTATATGGATTATCAGAGACAAAATAATGTATGATAGAGCTACTAGTATTTTAATTGGTACTTAGTTTCAAAATACAATGAATATTAAACCAGCAATTTTTATTTCAGGTTCGGTTTTGGGTTACCGACAACCCGAGCTTATGCAGAATATTTGGGTGGAAGTTTGACAATCCAAACGATGCAAGGAATTGGTACAGATGTGTATCTCAGATTGAGACACATGGACAGGAAACAAGGTGGCTTCAGGATTTAAAAGAAAATCCTCTTAAACGAGTCCTTGGAAACAAAAACTAGAGAACTGAATTTTCAGGAACTCTTAATTTTATTTTCCCCACATGGTGTTCTAGGTGTACTTGTTAATGCCTGTGAAACTACATGTGATCGGTCGTAAATTCTTTATTTATGTCTGGCTGTTATTTGTTTACCTAACTTATTAGATATTAACCTACAGCTTTTTTTTTGTGCATCGGTACATACTTGCGTGTTAGGTAAAACGAAATAAATGTTGTATTTCTAAATTGTAAACATTTCTAATTTTAATCTATTTTTTTAAGATTGTGACAAGATTTGTTTAAATAAATCTTAGAACGTGTTCAGAATCTCCGTGTTTAGATTGTGATAAAGCAGGTGTGTTGTCCATTAGTTTGGATGCTAATCCTCGGTGATAAATATAATACCCGATATGCTGTAAAAAATTTTTTTATTAATATAATGTCGTACAATGATACTAATTGTTATAACACTCAACTCAGAATAATTAAAGTGTTTCAGACCTATTTTGATTTGTTTTAGTAATTATCAATTAATGACAATAGCATAATTATTTCCTACCTCATAGAAATAATTTATCTTTGAAAAGAAACATCAGAATTTGACATCTACAAGCGGAGTATCGGTAGAGAACAAACGTGTTTACTTGTTTGTTTGAAATGCTGGAAAAAAAATATTTTGTGAAAACTAGTTTATACATATTGTATACATTTACTCATTTCTTTTGCTTTTTCATACATATGTCTTAGAAATATCTATTTAAAATAACATTTTCCATCCAAATTTGGTGAAGATAGTTGTGATTTTTGTACTTGTAGAGTTTAATAGAACTGACTTTCAGATTATTAAGCCTTTTTTTTTACTGTCAAGTACCTATAAGATAAGGTTATTTTCACACTTTTTGTGTGTGTGTTTAATAATTTGGTTTTTAATATTTTGTTTCCAAAGCCCATTTTACTTAAATTTCACAGTGATATTAATAGTCTAATCAGTTTTATGAACAGTTTATTTCCCTCTACCCCATTGTGACTCGGTGGTAAGTCACAGCTTAAAATACTGAAATTCGAGTTTTGATACCTGTTGTGGGCACAGCACCAATAGCTCATTGTTTAGCTTTGTGCATTTTGACTTTGAAGCAAAAACATGCTGAAGACTATATTTACAAAAACTAAGGATTTGTGTTGAGTGTAACATGAATTATCCAAACCTATCATTCAGTTCTGTAAATACCAACATAAAGGCTTGGGATTCGTGTTGAGTGTAACATGAATTACCCAAACCTATCATTCAGTTCTGTAACTACCAACATAAAGGCTTGAACCTTAAGTTTTAAGTACAAGGTAAGAAATCCCTTTACAAAAAAAAAGTAACCACCATCTCTCGTTGACGTATTTGTTCCTTAGACTGATTGTTAAGACTGATAGGGCTATGTTTCTAACCCGTAAAGTTAATTGTTGATTAATATGGACTTCAGTGGAAGATTTTACACAATCAGTCACTTTGAATATTTGAATTAACCATGAAAGATATATTGTAAGAGAAGATAGTTTAAAAGATCCTAAATTGTAATGTTAAATTATATAAACATCACTTAGGTTGATATGAAGATCTTTGAAAACAAAAACTAAGCACATTAGAGCATTACCAAACATGTGTTGTTTTAGTTCATTTTAGGTTGTTACTTCTTCAAAAGTTACCTGCACTTAACACATACTTTTTAAAAAAAAAAAAATGTAATTAATTTAGGTTACTATATGGTAAAATAAAACAGACTCAAAAACCCCCATAGAATAGTTAGCTTTATTTGAATTCTTCAGACATCAGATGTTGATGCAAATATTCCACTTCAAAAGTAGACACTTTTTTTTTGTAATCTCTATTTTCTTATCATACTTTGTGGCAGAAGGAATAACAAAATCTTTATTCCAAATCGGCTATAACTAACGTTAATAAATATATATTTTTTATTGTTCTGGACAAATGACTGGATTTAATTTTTAGCGTTTATTACTGTCTCACTAATTACTTGAATCTCGGTGACTGAATGAGTATTGTCACCTGACAAGTTTTATCAATGAGGTTTTTTTTTACATAAAATAATTCCAAAGCTATTTCTTTTGTTTAAAACTGCATGAGTTGAATAAAATAACACATGATGACAAGAATAAGATAACACACACGATGGTGACAAGATTTTATTAGGCTTATTGAATAATTTTAATAAAATTGGTTACAAGACTGTATTAGGCTTATTGAATAATTTTAATGGACTGGTTACAAGACTGTATTAGGCTTATTGAATAATTTTAATGGACTGGTTACAAGACTGTATTAGGCTTATTGAATAAT